AGGGCATGCGAGATCCTTATCAAACCTCTGACCTCCTCCCACTTTGACCCAGCTGGGCAATCCCTGCCACGGCGCGACCAGCCTCGGTCCATCTCTGCAAACATCGTCAATCGTGAATATTCATCACGCACAAAGCATGTCGCCTCACAAGTGGCTTAAAGAGGCCTTCCAACCTGAACTTCATTTCGTACCTTTGAGTCTCTCACAACAGACGAAACTATGAGCGTGAGTACAACCACACTCACGACGAATGCTATACTTAACGTACAGTACACATATTCTGGATTTTGATTGTAGCTGCTGCATGGGTAGACGTGCCGCGGCTCATCTTTCGCATCGCGATTGCGGGGGCGCGTCTTCTCTTATCTGACATGTCGAGTTGTACAGCATTTGACTGTGCATTCGCGGGACGTGCATCGGGCCAGCCTGGTTGGCTTAGGTACATGTGTCAAAAGTTCGGGCAGAGTTGCCGTGGCTCCACTCTGACCTTGGGAAGGTTTTGGAGCTCGGAAAGGATGCAGCTCTGTCTTGCCCGTGCAACAAGCTTGCTTGACGCAGAGGTAGCCATGACAGCTCCTGGATGGCAGGGGAGCTCAAGGAGAAGCATGACACGGTCCATCGGCGCTCAAGAGTCGACTGAAGCTCGAGAGGGCTATAGTATTACAAGGCTTGCTGGCATCAAACCGCGTCGTACAGCAAATTGGGACGTAATAGAAAGCAAGGTCAAAGGTTGAGAGCGGAGCGTTGGGCGTAGGAAGTAGGTAAAGCTTCGAGCTTGGGCGTGAAGTCAATGAATGGAACTCGGAGGTCAGTAGGAAAGTATGCCTCAACGACTACGAAGTTCTTCAAGCATGTTGGGGGACAGCGCCAGCACCGTGCTCAGGTGATTCGAATACGTCCTCATCGTCTTCATCAAGCACGGCCCAGTTGGGTCCGGCAGGTGCGTATCCACCGCTTGGGATTCTGTACGAAGCTCTTTCGGAGCTGACAGTCCTGATCGAAGGTGCATCTCCCAAACCCCCAACGCTCGGACGAGCGTACTTGGTCTTGGACGCCAAATTGGTGACTAGCGCGCTCGAAGGACGCGGACCTCTTCTGCGCGCTCCTCTGTCCTGTCCGACGTTCGTGCTCGGTCGGTGCACAACTACCGTCGTTTCGCTACCAGCAATGCTGTGGTCCGAAGTGGATCGAGGCATGCCCATACTGGAACCTTGTCCTACTTGCGACATGCTAGCTTGAGACGCGCCCTGCGTTGCGGCATCATTCATGCTTCCAGAGGGTGCTCTAGCACCAGCAAAGAAGACATTGCCAGCTGTCGACGGTCTAGGTCTGAAGCTGTGTTGAGCCCTGAATGAAGGTCTAGGAGCGTCCTTGGAATCCAGCGCGAACGCAGGTCCAGTCTTTTGCGTCGCTCCTTGCCTGTTCTGAGTTGGTGAGGATGGAGGAGCGGGGATCCTTGAAGTGCTAGGTATCCTGGTATTGGCATGAGTGATAGCAGCAGCGGGACGGACGATGCTGCTAGCAGCACTGTTGATGGTTTGGCCACGACGGGTGGCAGTTGCAGGGGTGGCCCTCACACTTCCCGGCCCTGATGGTCCAACGCTACTGCCGAGACGTGCTCGCTTGGCATTTGAGACCGCTCGCATCGGC